AGGAGAAAGCTGATTAGAACGATGCTCCAGATTCCTGTGCCAGGCATCGCTGTTAAAAACCACTGCTCTTAAAATCAACTCACTTAGTCTTCAGGACAACCTCATGAAGTGGGCACTACCATCCTCATCTGACAGCAAGGAAAAAGAGCCAGAAGAGGGCAAGGGATTTTTCCCATGGTTATATAGCCAACTCGGACTTCAAATTCAAACAGCCCCACTACATTGTCAGGACACTTTGCCATTAACCGAGTCGTCTCTGAGGACATTGCCTTGCATCTAATAAAGGCTAAAGTAGATGAAGAAAAAAATCTGCTCTCAAATTTGCACCAGAAGTACCGATGACGTGCTCTCAATGAGGGGAAACGCAGGGCATCACTATATACACACTGTAATCTTTGCAACGAGAAGCTGAAGAAACGCACATAGGAAATAACCGGACGGAGAAAGGCCCAAAGGTTCACTTTGCTTGGGGCTGATATGCTGATGATTTTCCTCACTGCTTTGTATATTTGCTTGACCTTTTTCAAACTTCCTAAAGCACATGTTACTGGGAAAATCAGAAAAAAAAAAAAAAAGAGTTATTTCAAAGTTTATTTTTAAAATAAACATTTTTTTAAAAAATAAAAAACTTGGAAATAAAGAACATTAGGTACTGAAATTAACCAGACCCAAAGTCTAGACATCTCAGTGAGACATAAAAATAAGTGAGTAAAAAACCATAATAATGTGAGGCCTTATGGAAGGAAGCAAGTTTGAAACAAATGACCAACAGGCACAAAGTATTGGTCCACCTCTCCCCCAGAACATTAGTTAACTTCTAAGAAGTTTCTAGAACCCATATACACTCTTACACAAAGCTTTAGCTACTACTGCCGGTTACTGTGACAGCAGTCCATTCTCAGGGCAGCAAATACACAGCCGACCGCATCCACTGTCAAGTCCCCCAAGGAAAGTGGATTTCCCAGCTCCTTTCCAGAGAATTTACAACAAGCACTTTTGCAACTTCGAAAGTCCTGAGTGCCTCTATTTCCTGGAATCACTAGTGAGTTTGATAGCTGGGGGCAGTTTATGAGGCTCGCTCCAGGGCGGCAGAGTAGCAATTTTGGCAGTGGTAAATTGTGAGGTATCTCTGGATTTTTATCCCGCCCCCCTTTCTTGAGACAGGGTGTAGCCCTGGCTGTCCTGGAAATCTCTCTCTAGACCGGGTTGGCCTTGAACTCAGAGATCCACCTGCCTCTGCCTCCCGAGGGCTGGGATTAAAGGTGTGCGCCACCATGGGGACTGCTTTTGGTAGCCAGGGAGCCAGAGGTAGCTGGAAGGAAAAAGACCTTGGAGCCAGACCCAGCTCAATGCTTACAAATGGGTTTCAGGCGGCTCACTCACCTCAGACTCTGCATCTGTTTTTACCTGTATGCAGATGGTACATACCCACCACTCGGGTGACTGAGTCTGAAGTGGGCTCATGGGGAGGAAAAAAAGATGTACTTATACATGTGCAAATATGTAAATACACACAAATATGTAAAAATACATGTATTTTTTAATTCATGTGAATTGTCTTTTTTTTGTAGCTTTCTACTTCCTTTTTAAAAAAGATTGGTTTCTATTTTATGTATGTGGATGAGTGCTCCCACATATATGTGAACCATTTGTGTGCCAGTGCCCATGGAAGTCAGAAGAGGGCACTGGATCCTCTGGAACTGGAGTGAGAGATGGTTGTTGAACCATTGTGTGGGTGCTGAGAACTGAGCCAGGACTCTGCAAGAGCAGCAGGCCCCAACTTCCCTTGTCCCTCCCTCCCTTCCTTCCTCCCTTCCTTCCTCCCTCCCTCCCTCCCTTCCCTCCCTCCCTCTCTCCCTCCTTCCCTCCTCCTCCTCCTCCTCCTCCTCCTCCTCCTCCTCCTCCTCCTCCTCCTCCTTCTTCTTCTTCTTCTTCTCTCTCTCTCTCTCTCTCTCTCTCTCTCTCTCTCTCTCTCTCTCTCTCTCCTGCCTGCTTTCTTTCCTTCTCTCTCTCTTTCTTTCCTTCTTTCTTTCTTTTCTTTCTTTCTTTCTCTTTTGCAGATACCAAGGAAAGCTGGTATTTTCTATAAGAGAACAATTAATCAAGCCATCCAGATGAGACGATCTGGGAAACAGGTGGATGGATGGATGCTGGGGATGGAGGCATAGGAACCTAGGAGGATGCCTAAAGAAAGTTTCACTGTCAGCAATACCCAGGACTCTTGACCTCATTTTTTTTTTTTTTTTTTTTTTTTTTTTGGTTTTTCAAGACAGGGTTTCTCTGTGTAGCTTTGCGCCTTTCCTGGAACTCACTTGGTAGCCCAGGCTGGCCTCGAACTCACAGAGATCCGCCTGGCTCTGCCTCCTGAGTGCTGGGATTAAAGGCGCGCGCCACCACCGCCCGGCCATTTTGCCTTTTTAATAGCACATATTTTCTGTAATAATATCATCACCAACCCAAGAGAGCTGTGAAACCTTGTTTGGAATTAAAAAATTTGTTTTTGAATATTTAAGAAGAGATGACTCAGCAGTTAAGAGCACATCCTGTTCTTGCAGAGGACCTGAGTTCAGTTCCCAGCACCCATGATGGGTGAGTGGCTCACAATCACCTGGAACTCCAGCTCTCGGGAACCTGATGCCCTCTTCTGGACTCTGAGGCTACATGTATTCATGTGCACACACCTACAAACCCCCTCCCTCACACATAATTAAAAATAAAATAATTCTTCAAAAACACTTTGAAGTCAGATCTCTAGTTATCTTCCCACTCCCAGGAATGAACATCATACTACCATTGGCTTTAGGCAAAAACAGGGCAAGCATCAATGGATGACCTGCAAAAACTGGCCTTCTAAGGATAACCCTCCCAAAGGGAAGGTTAGTGAGAACGCTTACACAAACTGCCTTGCGTTCAAATGCGGAATATATGGCAGTTAGTATTATACAATAAGAGATATTTGGCTACAACGTAAGTGATTTACTAACGGAGACTCACGCCTTTTTCTCGTTCTCCCTAAGGACCTAGGGTGGACCTGAGGTCAACTTGGTGAAGTGTAGCCCATGTGCCCACATAATATGTCTAACCTGACTCTCCAGCACTGCTAGGCCATTGCTTGCTGCACTACGGGCTCTGTGGCCATCCACTCCCCTCACCCCTCTTGTGGCTACTGTCCTCTCTCCAGAGACTTGGTGGTGTTCTTCTCCTTAGTCCCTGACACGCCATTGGCCCATCCGTTCTCAACCATCAGTAGAAGCCCTTTTATGTGCTTAGAGACACTGCTATTTTATTCCTATTTTCTAGATTGCATTCTATACACTTCCCTGTCTGTGTGAGTCTCATCCTCAAGCTTGGCAGCACTGAGGGCCAACGTGGGCAGCCCAGGCAGATCCCAGTTCATCGGGTCCCAGAGACCAGCCTCATATTGGACAATGTGTGCTGAAGCTGCTCAGAGAAGAACCGTGAAAACCTATTCCGGGTCTTCGTGAGCATCGATTGTGGGGTTGAAAAAAAAACTTTGGGAGGAAACTTCTAATTGCTTGCCATATCTTTTGCCCCCAGGGTATTTCTCAAGAGTGTCATGGAAATACTGTTTGCAAGCAGCTTGTTGTAACTGACTGTTACGAAGCAAGATCTCCTTTATATTCCTCAGTAAACTGCCTGAAGAGATGACTGAGAAAGCATGACCTAAGACACCGAGGGGGTTGTCTTATTAAGGCTGCAGCCACAATAACACCACAAATTAAGTGGTTTCAAGCACTAGAAATGTATTCTTCACTATTCTGAAGTTTAGTGGGTCCAAGGTCTAGGTGACAACAGCTTTGATGACTGGTGAGGACCGTGTCCAGTCCGTAGCTGGAACCTTTTAGCTTCGTCTTAACGTGGTAAAAGGACACGCCGGTGTCTCCTTCGTAAGGACATTGGTCTCATTCAAGATGACTTTGCCCTCCTAACCTCTCTGCTTCTGCAAGGCCTTGTCTCCTAATGCTATCACTGGGGTCAGGGTTGAAATTTCAACCTGTGAACGGAAGGTACATGCAGATGGTGGAGTAGAACTTACAGAATGCGCACGTCTAAGGAAAACAACCAGTCGAGGTAGCGGCGACACCACAGTCCCCAAGTTAGTAGTTCATCATGTCTCTCACTTGTAGGTCAGGAGACCCTGCTTATGAGAGAGCCACCTTGGGAAAGCCACCAGATGGTTATCCCCCCTGCCCTGGAATTTTTCTGGGAACACCCCCACACGTCTGCTCATCTGTCCCAGAGCCCCAGAACTTCTTACGCTTGCCACGGTGTGTGTGGTTATCATCAGTCTGGCAAGCTCAAAATCCCAAGTGAGCCTCTTATTTTCTCCATTGATTGGTCAAGACTAGGGACTGTCCCACATTTTAAAAGAGTTGCTCTCCTAAGAGTTCCTAAGCTGAGTTGAAACAAGGATGTTGAAAAAAAGAATTGAGGGGGCTGGAGAGATGGCTCAGAGATTAAGAGCACTGGCTGTTCTTCCAGAGGTCCTGAGTTCAATTCCCAGCAACCACATGGTGGCTCACAACCATCTATAATGAGATCTGGTGCCCTCTTCTGGCCGGCAGGCTGAACACTCACTGTATACATAATAAATAAATAAATCTTTAAAAAAAAAAAAAGAATTGAAGCTTTTAGTGAATGTGGGGGATTCTGACTTCTCAGGGGCCTTGGGTGACCTGATTTCCTTATTCATAAATGGGCTTCACACCTATTGTAGCCCAAGAGACTCTGGAACAAGCTACGTGCCTCTGGCAGTTACTGTGTAGATGCCCTTTCTTAAACCCCCCCCCCGCCCCGCCCCCCCCCCCCCCCCCCCCCCCCCCCCCGCCCCGCCGCCGTCAGTGTCAAGTTCAGGTTCTTATTAGATCTCCACTGATGTCAGTTTCCAAGCCAGTCCTCTCCCTTACAGGCCCTGCTCCAGCTTCTATCTCCCAGTATGGCAGCAAGAGAATCAATGTACAACACAAAGATGCACTGTGCACCATGTAGAACATCGTTTAATGGCTTCTTAATGTGGTAGCACAAAATCGTCAACCTTCAGTAAGCACCCCTTTCAGAAATAGTCACCTGAGTTTGTCTGCCTGTTTATTCGCTCACACTGTGTGGTTCACTATTATGAGCACGCTCGATACGTAGACTCCAAGTGACTCACTTCCTACGAATCATTTCATATAATCCTGAGAACAGTGCTGTCCTCTAGATCTCCGTATTGCAGAAGATGAAAGAATGGCCCGGAGAGACCGTGGAACTCACCCAAGAACAAATAGCTTCTTGGCCACAGAACTGAATTCACTGTCTGGCACTTCTGATTCAGGTCTCTGTATTAAGCCACAGACTCCGGAGCAGCTGGGGAAAGGCCAGCAGCAGAGGGGCTTGGAATCAAAGGCTGGAGGAAGTACAGCCTGAAAGAAGGGTGTTGGGGAGGAGGATGCAATCTTTTCTTTCCCAGGTTGGTGGTGGGAGGTGGCTATCTGGACTTGAAGAGAATGCTCTGCCCCAGTCTTCAAGCATTCTTACTGGGGATTTTTGCTGTCCGAGAAGACCCAGCCCAGTAATTGTCTGGTGCTCAGTTTTGTTCCTCTCCCAACACATAGCCGATATTTGGGATGTGATTACTGACAGTGGTAGTCGCATCTCTTCTCTGGAATATATGAAGAACTGAAGGGATATGCTTCCAGGCCTCCAACAGACGTTTTCAGTCTTTCGGAAGTGGCCTCTGGGTAATCAGATATGGCCACTGCCAGGCTGCTTCTTAAACAAGATGTTTCCTCCTGACATCTCCAGAAGCCTCATCCTAACCCCAGTGGAAGGAAGGTACCCGGCTGTCTTGACCATTTTGCTGAGGGCTGTCTGCCTGCATACCTGCAGGGAAAAGCATCCTGGTCGCGGGGTTTCAGGACATCTCCATTAAAAAAAAAAAAGTTTGAGTACAGGCCACGCTTGATGTTGGGATATTTTTGTTAAACCCTAAATTTTACGGTCTAAAGTGTATATGTTTTACATGAAAATTTGACTTTCAGAGGATTAAAGTGTGACTTGCCCGATCAGGATCCCTCTGTGGAGCCAGGACATGCACCCTTGTAAGAGTGTTTTCACCAGACCACACCGAATCCAAAACTTCGGGACACGCAGAGGGGGTGGGGTGAGGGTGGAGACAGCATTTGGGCTTCCTTGCCTGCCGCATTGCTCCGCCCCTAGGCTTGCTCTTTGTAGGGGGACCGCAAGATTCCCTGCCTTCCCGGGAGTCCTAGGCAGGCACCTTTAACCTTGAGCCTGCTCGCTGGCGACCTCCAGAGGGTCAGGATGGTTGGGGACCGGTGTGAATGAGGACTCTGCTAGTTTTAACGACTCTATTTGCATAACGAAGACCGAGCTTCCTCCCGCCGGTCTGCAGTGTTTTTCTTCCCTCCTCCGTTCCCCGGCACCTACATCCCCAGTCCCTCACTGCTCCCCTCTGGTCCCCTTCTCGGGGGACTTACTCGGAGCTTGAGTCCCAAGGCTCTTCTTCCCCGGCCCGGTGAGGTCCAGAGGCACCTGGAGGTGTGGAGTCCAGGACCAGGCCGGGCTGGGGAGCCGCCCTGGCACTGCCTGACCCTAACAAAGGGAATTGGGCTGCCGGGCGGCGCGAGCGCGCGGTGGGCACAGCGGCCGCCGCCTTCCCGGCTGAGAGCACTGAGAGTGAGTAGGGGCGAGGCGGGCGGCACTGGCCGGGAGGAGGGGTGCAGGGGTGCGCTGAGGGGCAGCCTCGGCTGCTTGGGCAAAAGCCACCGCCCCGGGCTAGGGGTGTCTGTCGCTGGCCCAGGGGAGAGGGGTGCCCTGGCCTCCCGCGGCTCGCCATTCTGCGCACCCACAACAAATCCACGTGTGCGGGGCCGCCGGAGCCCGTATTGTGTAAGGCGTAGCCTGGCAGAGCGCGGGTCCCTTCCGATCTTATCCACTGGGGTAACCGATCAGGAAACTGAGCCTGGTGGAGGGAGAGGGAACGCATGCACCACAACAAACGCACGTGTGCTCCGCTGGGGATCTGGGGGTGCAGCTAGCCCTGTTGAACTGCTCTGCCGAGCCGCCTGCGGCCAGGTTATTGCCCCAGTCAAACCAATGGGTGCGGCGCTTAGGATACTCACTGCCAGAGGGTGAGAGACGTTTCGTAAAGGTGTCCTGTGAGGGGTCGTACTAAACCTGTAGATTTTAAAAGGAAAAAGCAAACAAGAAAGAGTCTACAAAAGCACCCCCTGCCCACCCTCACCCCCCCCCCCCGCCTTGTGTGCTCTACTCCTGGGCACGTGCCTAGAGATGACAAGCCCTCACCTCTCCCCCGAGGTTTCCTAGAGCTGTGGGTTGAACCAAGAGTCTGTAGTTATCCTTTAAAATAGACTCTGCCAAACACACCATTGTCCCCGTGCTCTGGCGACTGCCCCTGTTGGGGAACCTCGAGCGCCTCCCTAGCCTACCGAAAGAATAGCCCAATTTAAGCTACATCCACCAGTGAGGTCTTGGGTTTCGTTTGCACTTCTCCGAGGTCCCTGTGCCTAGTCCAGGTGTCACTGGCTCCTCCTCTTCACACAAGGCCACCCAGGTCCTCTTGTATCCGAGGCTCGCAGAGGTAGGTGCGTTGTTTGCCTGCTTTCGCTTTACTTTCACCCTGCTCACGCAGCCAGATTTTAGTTAGCGAGGTCTGGGCTTGGCAGCCCTGAGGATGGGGTGGGGAGAGCGGGTGAACGGATCCTAGGCGACCTGTGCAGGAGTGACGGGCACCATGCCTAACTGATGCTTCACCTCGGATAGTTCCTCTAGAGACTAACTTGTCTCTGAGGACCGCTGGACAGCCTCCAGCCATGCACCATTGTTACTGAAAGGGTCCAGGCGGCAGCTAGGGAACCTTGTATTTTACAAGCAGGAAGCTGAGGTCTGAAAGTTCAGCCTCTTGAGTGTGGATCTCCCAGCTGCTCCGCCTGCATCCAAAGGATTCTGCGGCTGGCTTAAAAGGCAGTAGCCTTAGGCAGAGCAGTTGGGAGTTAAACAAAGAAAATAATTCAAATTGGAAACTGCACCCTTCCATTATGCCTTTCCAGAGTTCTCTGTTCAGTGGAGAAGAGAGATTTAGAAATTCCCCACTCCCCAGCCAATCCTGCTCCCACAACTTTGTTCTGCTCTCCTGGCTGCCCCCTTGTTCTCACATTGAACTGGGGCCAACTATAGAGACTTAGATGTTTTGCCTCACATCCCGGCGCTAAGAGGCCTTTGTCTGGGCAGAAGCAGGGGCTGTTGACATCAGCCCCAGTGGGAGGAAAGTGTCCCTTGTAACCGGCTGTTCCTGAGCCCCTCGCTGGAAAACAAAGCATTGTTTTCATTGATTTTATTTAATTAATTTATCTATTATTTATGAGTCCCATGGAAGCAACTGTGCTTTTTGTGTTTGGCAGAGGAGAAAGCAGGCAAATCATGGAACACTGAGGCCAGTTTCCCCAAAGCTTAGCTGTGGTCTGTGGCCTCTCCCTCCACCCCTCACCTCCTAGGTGTGTTTACTTTCCCCTTGGTTTCCAGGTTGTTTAACTTTGTAATGTCAACGTAAAAAAACCCGCAGCTCTCAACTTAGGGATAAGAGATGGTTTATTCCGGAGCCACTTTGAGTGACCATGGCCTGGGAAAGCAGCTTTAGGTGACCCCAAATTCCGAGTTCTAAGGTGGAAGCAGTTACACAGAGCCTTTCTAGTTTTGCAGAAGAGAGGTGGGTACATCAGAGAGACAGGTATCTAGACGTGCTACATAGAAGTGCTGGGAGCTTTTCCACAGACTCGAGATGCTATCTGTTGGCATTCACAGCTTTTAGATTGGTGGAAGTTAGTTTCCTGCTAAGTTAGTAGATTCTAAAAGGCTTTTTATCTTTTGTCACGAGACGAGACGTTAGGTCCAGCATGGGGATGAGGGTGGGGCAAAGAATGGACGGGCTTGTGGGTGGGGGTGCAAGGAATGGCTGCCCTGGAGGGCCAGAACTTAGCCCAGGATAAAGTCATTAGCCTCTGGACCTGCAAAATTCCAGTCTCCACAGCACTAAAATTCTAATCAGCCAGCCAGTCTCTGCAGACACAGATTCCTTCCTGGAAGTTTTCTTCACAGCTATGTGTGTGTGTGTGTGTGTGTCCTCAGGGTGCTACCCCTATAATGAACTTGAGGCTCCTCAACCCTTTTGCTTCTCACATGGGAAATTTAAGGACCAGAGAAGAGAAATTGCTTGCTCCCAAATACACAGAAACACTGTCAACCGACACTTAGTGCCTCTTTTTTTTTTTTTTTTTTTTTGCGTCCAAGGGAAGGTGTTGCATCAAACAAACTGTTGTTGGTACCCCAGAGTAAAACTAAAGTTATTATGGTTGCTATAACAACACCCTTTAAAGTAAGCCGATGAGTTCCTTAAGGATTTAAGTAGGTTTGGCTGTTAAGCAGAGGAATGGATGCTGATGGTAGGTTTGGTGTAGAGAAGTTTTGCAGTTAACATTTTTTTTGGCTTGCTGAGTGGGTCACTTTGCTCTTGTCCTTGGGAGCTGCTTTGCAGATATTTGCAAAGCAAAGGGCAGTTGGAAGTCAGAAGACAAGAGACTCCTTAGCTATTCACCATAGTTAACCTCCTGGGCTCCATTTTTCTTTTTTTGGCCTGGTGGATCTGTCAGTGCCTACCCTGGCTCTCCTGGGAAGTAGATGCTGCTGGAGGCCTTAGAGTCTGAGGAGGGCATGGACATATGGTTTCTTGCTCATACCTGGCATCAGTGTGTGACTATCATGGATAAGAAGAACTTGATTAGGGAAACATGTTTTTTTTTTTTTCATATTTAGTGCAATGACTATTTATTTATTTATTTATTTATTTATTTATTTATTTATTTATTTATTTATGTATGTTTTTACATCCTGACCAGTTTCCCCTCCCTCCTCTCCTCCCAGGCTCTCCCTTCCACCTCCCGCTCCCCCATCCACTCCTCCTCCATTTCTACTCAGAAAAGGGAAGGCCTCCCACGAAGATCAACCAAACATGGCATATCAAGTTGCAGCAAGACTAAGCACTTCCCCTTGTATTAAGGCTGGGCAAGGCAATCCAGTAGGGGGAAGGGTCCCAAGAGCCAGCAAAAGAGTCAGAGACAGCCCTTGTTCACAAGAGGACCAAGCTATGCCACTGTAACATATATGCAGAGGGCCTAGGTCAGTCCCATGCAGGTTCCCTGGTTATCTGTTCAGTCTCTGTAAGCTCCTATGAGCCCAGGTTAGTTGATTCTGTGGGTTTTCTCGAGGTGTCCTTGACTCCTCTGGCTCCTACAATCCTTCCTGTCCCTCTTCCACAGGATTCCCGGAGCGCCCCCTAATGTTTGATTGTGGATCTCTGCATGTTTCCATCAGTTGCCTGATGAAGTCTCTCTGATGACAGTCGGGCAAGGCACCACTCTATGAGGACAGCAGAATGTCATTAGGAATCATTTCATTGACTTTATTTTTTGCCAGTCATGTTTGATTCTACCACAGGTGTCTGGGTCCTGGCCCTTGTAGGTTTCTGGGAGTTTCCATTGCACTAGGTTTCTAGCTCATCCCAGAGATGCCCCCAGATTCCAATTGTCTCAGTCAGAACTCTCTCCTTCCATGTTCCTCGCACCTGATCCCTCCTGTTCCCACCCACCCCCCAACTTTCTGGGAAACATGTTTTTTTTTTTTTTTTTTTTCTTGCTTGTATTCATGCATTCTTGCTTCACGATAGCCCTCTGACTCCCATGGATGTGTCTTCACAAGCTCATCTGCAACACTGCATATTGTGCAATGTTGTTATTCCATATTAAAATACTAGGGATGATTTTCCTAAGTCATTACCAGAAAGATCATGTCAGCTTTCTGAATCCAAGTGTTCTGGTTATAAAACATAAGACATTCCTGTTGAAGAACATACAAGAAAGGATTGAGAAATAGAAAAAAAAAATTCCGCTATCCCAAACAGCCATGTACTATCTGGTAATTTTGTTTCTGGATTTCATAAACAAACAAAAACAAAAAAAGCCAAACCAAACAAAAATTCTGATGGCTTTTTTTTTTTTTCAAAATAATTGAGAACAATTGTACGTATAGTTTTGGTTCTTGTATTTTACAGTTTAAAGTTTTGACGACGACTATGTTAGCTGCCTAGCACTTTCAAGTTCCCATGGTCCCATGAGATCTGATCGCTTTAGTGCTTGTTTCCGTGAGGGCGTGCCACGGAAGGAGCCTCCACTTCCCTCTTCTATCCCAGCCCTGCCTCAAGTCTTCAAATGGTAGCCACAGTTTTTCTCTGAGAAATTCAGAAGCACAGGCAATACAGTAGAGTAGAGGGAGAAGGACCCTGTGCATGGCCTTGAGCTATGGTCTGGCTCGTGTGACCTCCAGCATCTAAATAGTAAAGTTTGTGTAACTGCTCAGTGAACAACTCCAGGGTTATTTTTTTAATTCATTGGACATATTGAGTAAAAGCCTCATAGTCTGAAGGAGGAGACATGAGTGACAAGAAACATGGGTGATCACAGAGGAGACCACCTGTCGCGCCTGGAGCAGTAGACATGTCTGTGGGAGCCACGCCTGCAAAGTCATTTTTACCTGTTTCAATCGATATTGTGACTAGCACGCTCACAGATGAATTCCAGTTGACTTTCCTGAATTTCTATAGGATGGAGCCCCAGTGTTGGGATTATTGGGGCACACTGTAAAAGGCATGCCAGTTGAAGAAACTCTGGGCCCTGCCTGGACCTCATGTTTCTTTGAAGCATGCCCTAGATATCTTATCAGCCAAGCCATAAATATTTCACTCAGCCTGATGATGCATATTTGAGGCATTGAGTTTGTGCTGGCTTGGGGCCTTTCTTCTTCTCTCTTGCCATTATGGAACCGCTCAAGCTTTTGGGGAGTGGGCCAAGGAGGGAGGGGGCACAGCAATCCTGGGAACATTTTAAGCTTTGCTGCTCAAATATGGAGGTCATGCATGTCCCGAAAAGACAAAGGGAGAGTATACAGCACACAGACTATAGAGTCAGGAGACCTGATTTGAGCCAGAGTCCACCTCTTACTAGTGACTTGGATTTTTTTTTTTTTTTTAACCAGCACATTTACAAAGATTTGGTAACTACTGATCAAGGTAATACAGACGGGCAGTATTAGTTAGGCCTAAATCATGCCCAGCCTTCCTTCCTGAGAGGCAGGGTTCTCGTATGGGTTGGGGAGGGTCCACTGCCACTGTCCTGCTCCCCCCGAGGTGTGTCGAAGGTGTGGTTTCTCTGATGTACCACCCGTGACTCTGCTTATCACTCTTCTTTCTGTGTTGTTACCCCCTCCCCTCTTTATGGATGGGGGCCAAAAAAAGTCCTGGTTCTGCCCTTCAGTCCTTGAGTCACGTGTCCTTGTGAAAGCCCCTTTCTATTAGGAGAAGGGGTGAGTGTCCATGCCTGTCTGTCTCTGACGTGGGTGAGTTTTAGTTTCTTCTGGTGCTGGACCCTAGAAGGAAGAGAGAGGGTCTGATACGGTAATCAACAGAGCCTCGGTCTCCTGGACTTCTCATTATTCCTCAGCTTAGCCTGTGACCTGTGGTCTCCGGCAGTCAGTCAGTCACTAGCTGTGTAGCTTGGGAGCATGCCTGGGCCTCAACTGCTTGTTTTCTTTCCTGTCCCCTGTTTCTGGCTCTGAAATCAAATCCGAGACGTATGCAAGTTTGAGAGGCTTTCTTACAAAAACAGAAAAGGGAATTATCTTAGAATATTCAGATAATAAGTCATTAACCTACTCGCCATATGCTGTCCCTCCCATTCTCCATTTGTAAGCCTGCCTGCAGCCCTGGAGATCGAGCCCAGCTGCACGCATCCTAGGCAAGTAAGCCCTGGCCTCAGCCTGTCCACTTCTCTAAAGTGATTCCCCTTTACAGTTGGAGGAAGGCCCTTTCGGGACTTTCTGCTAAGTATTCATGGTCCTGTACAAATGCATT